ACACACTGCAGCTAGTAATAGACATACTGCACCAGGTACCAAACACACTGCAACTAGTAATAAACATACTGCACCTAATACCAAACACACACTGCAACTAGTAATAAACATACTGCACCAGGTACCAAACACACTGCAACTAGTAATAAACATACTGCACCTAATACCAAACACACTGCAACTAGTAATAAACATACTGCACCTAATACCGAACACACACTGCAACTAGTAATAAACATACTGCACCTAATACCGAACACACACTGCAACTAGTAATAAACATACTGCACCAGGTACCAAACACACTGCAACTAGTAATAAACATACTGCACCTAATACCAAACACACTGCAACTAGTAATAAACATACTGCACCTAATACCGAACACACACTGCAACTAGTAATAAACATACTGCACCTAATACCGAACACACACTGCAACTAGTAATAAACATACTGTACCGAATACCAAACACAAACTGCAACTAGTAATAAACATACTGCACCAGGTTCCAAACACACACTGCAACTAGTAATAAACATACTGCACCTAATACCGAACACAGACTGCAACTAGTAATAAACATACTGCACCAGGTACCAAACACACTGCAACTAGTAATAAACATACTGCACCTAATACCAAACACACTGCAGCTAGTAATAAACATACTGCACCAGGTACCAAACACACTGCAACTAGTAATAAACATACTGCACCTAATACCGAACACACACTGCAACTAGTAATAGACATACTGCACCAGGTACCAAACACACTGCAACTAGTAATAGACATACTGCACCAGGTACCAAACACACACTGCAGCTAGTAATAAACATACTGCACCTAATACCGAACACATACTGCAACTAGTAATAAACATACTGCACCTAATACCGAACACACACTGCAACTAGTAATAGACATACTGCACCAGGTACCAAACACACTGCAACTAGTAATAAACATACTGCACCTAATACCAAACACACACTGCAACTAGTAATAAACATACTGCACCTAATACCAAACACATACTGCAACTAGTAATAAACATACTGCACCAGGTACCAAACACACTGCAACTAGTAATAAACATACTGCACCTAATACCGAACACATACTGCAACTAGTAATAAACATACTGTACCTAATACCAAACACACACTGCAACTAGTAATAAACATACTGTACCGAATACCAAACACATACTGCAACTAGTAATAAACATACTGCACCAGGTACCAAACACACTGCAACTAGTAATAAACATACTGCACCTAATACCGAACACATACTGCAACTAGTAATAAACATACTGCACCAGGTACCAAACACACTGCAACTAGTCATAAACATACTGCACCTAATACCGAACACACACTGCAACTAGTAATAGACATACTGCACCTAATACCAAACACACACTGCAACTAGTAATAAACATACTGCACCTAATACCAAACACACACTGCAACTAGTAATAAACATACTGCACCTAATACCAAACACACACTGCAACTAGTAATAAACATACTGCACCAGGTACCAAACACACTGCAACTAGTAATAGACATACTGCACCAGGTACCAAACACACACTGCAACTAGTAATAAACATACTGCACCTAATACCGAACACACACTGCAACTAGTAATAGACATACTGCACCAGGTACCAAACACACTGCAACTAGTAATAGACATACTGCACCAGGTACCAAACACACACTGCAACTAGTAATAAACATACTGCACCTAATACCAAACACACACTGCAACTAGTAATAAACATACTGCACCAAATACCGAACACACACTGCAACTAGTAATAAACATACTGCACCAAATACCAAACACACACTGCAACTAGTAATAGACATACTGCACCAGGTACCAAACACACACTGCAACTAGTAATAAACATACTGCACCAGGTACCAAACACACACTGCAACTAGTAATAAGCATATTATACTAATCACACACTGCAACTGATCTTCTTTCTGGAGAAGGGCTCACACAGCAGTGAAAATATTGCTGTTACTGGTCTGTGAATAAAGTTTCTGTATGGATGCAATCCATTTGGTCATTTTTCGTACATTAAATGATTATGGGTTAGCCACTCAGACTAAGGAGCACAAATCTCTTCTACACAATTGACTGCCATCTCTTCTGAAATACTGATGAGTTAAGACATGAATTTATTTACATACTAACAATGGAGCATTTTCCTTAACTATGCATGGTGCATTTGTTCTACAAAATGCAGTGAGAGAGTTAAAGATGGATTAGGAGAGTCTGCAATTAATTGCAAGTGTGAAGAGGAGCAATATAACCATGTAAGTACTCAAAATGATCATTCGCTTTTGTGTGATGGTCCGGGGCGTACCTAGAGCATTTGGTACAACAGGGTGGATCCTGTATATGGCACCCCCCTACCCCCCAAACTAACCCTC